GGGTTTTTTGAGCTCAATGGATTGTTCCCGAGGTCAGAAGCTCTCCGATATGAATATTTAAGGCGTTTGAGCCTTTAGGAACAAAAATACGGTGGGTTAAAGATCGTGACTGCTAAAAAAACGTTTAAAATGAACCAAAAATGTGCATTTTTCCGGATCTGAAGCTGCCAGCGTGTTTTCAAAGAGTTTGTTGCATTCCTCGTTCAGTCGAGATGAAAACGAGGTAACATTCGACGTCTTTTGAGTCATTTGATATTTTTTGAAAAAATCGACCCCTTTAAAATTTCGGTTAAAATTCAAAATTTTTCATGCGGGTTTTTTGAGCTCAATGGATTATCCGAGGTTAAAAGCTCTCCGATATAAATATTTAAGGCGTAAGGGGGCAAAACAGAGCGCGAGCCCAGAAAATCCATCGCTCTGCATACTGTCACATATTTTTGCATTTTTTGCATACTCACAGATGTAGACGCTAAAAAAGAGTCAGAGTAAGATTCATAAAGAAAAAATGGTAAAATTGACTTCTTTGTGCGCTTAATGTGACTAAATAATAATAAAGTAATGACTTTACTTGAGACCTACGCGATTTTTTTGGAATGCCAATTAAAAATGATTAAAATTCACTTACCGCAACTCGACTCTCTTTAAGGTCCAGCCGCATTGCTAATGCTTCTCTCATGAACACATCCGGGTAATGGCTAGCCAGAAAGGCTCGCTCCAACTCCTCCAGCTGCCAGCTGTTGAAGTTCGTTCTGCTTCTTCGGCGTTTCGAAGCTGCAGATTCCGAGTCAGCTTCGCCACTGCTGCCTGCACCTGCAGCAACAGAAATTTCCCTTGTCACAACGAATCTCCAGTCGGAATCGAGCCTGCAGGCGCAATTTATCGCTGAAATTCATCTATCAAGAGATTATAAGGTCATAGCGTTCAGAGTCCGGTGTTAAATCACAGTATTTTCCTTCAAATTACAGCCATTGGATTTTTTCAATTACCCAGTCGAAACTGGAGGATTAATAGGGGAGTGTTGTGGCAAATTCCGAAGAATAACCACAAGAGCGTTAGCGGCGACTGACGCTAGTAAGGTGGTGTTAAGGACGGTTACGGTATACGGTAAACTTCAGCTTTTCCCCATCGAAAATCGCTCAACTTAATAGAGACGTTATGTGGTTGTATGGTAATGGCTGCATCTTGTTATTTTGCATTTTAAGATCGTCGAAATTGATAGAAGCTCAGAACGCGTTTGGCCTAATTACTATACTTTGGTCCTTCCATATGGATTTTACTGAACCGGTCGATTCTTCATGGGACGCGAGTGCGTCAAACTGAAAATCCAGGGATTTGGCAACTTAACAGGGAAACTCAATAATTACATTAATCCCACACAATTCCAACCGGGCAATAAACAAGTGCATAAAACGGTTGATTAAGACATAGTTTAAAGGCGGAGCGTTCTAGCAAAGAACTTCTGTGTCGAGCTGGTTCTCTAAGTCGAAAATCCTTCTTTACAGCTTTTTCAGGCTTATAGTCAGGCCGTTTATGAATTATTTAGGTGCATTCAGGCACTGTGTAATGGCCGTTTAAATGCTAATCAGTCCGTTCACTTGGGAATTATTAAATATCCCAATCCAGTTGCTTGCAAGCCTGCTAGTCGTTATTGAAGCTTTGACTTCAACCGTTGGCTTAAGATGATCGGCTACTGGCAGTTGATAATGCGCTAATTGCCATTATGTTGGGGCCTTTTTAAGTTGGGTCCAAGACTAGTAGTTATGCAAAAAATAGCCAGTTATTGAGGGAACGTCGCAGCAACAAGGGCAACTATTGAAAGAAAAAACCGAAAATTTAATATTTGCCGATGGATTGAAAATCCGTCGGGCGTTTTGCATTGGAATCTTCAAAGAGAATCAGGTAAAAAAAGATCTGCACAAAATCAACAGAGTGAAAAACGCTCCAAAACACGCAAAAACTCCAACAAACTGAAAAACAGAGGAAAAAACCAACTGATGTTCATAATCAAACTGGTAGAATGGAGGCAAGCAAAAACGTGCGAAACTCTCGCAGAACCCTTGCAAAGGATAATTTGATATTAAAGGGCCAACAGATTAAAAAAAAATTAAGTATCAAAGAGACGAACGTCAAAAGAAGCAAATTTTTRTTCATTTTTTTTCGTATCCGAAAGGTTTGGCACAACTTTTCTGCTGAATATGCTTTATTGCGCTTATTGTGTCGAGCCCTTCGCTCTGCAGGCGAGATACTAGTGGATGACAAAAAGTAAGAAAAAGCTAAATTCCTAGTTAGGAACCCTAGCGATTTACATTTACAAAAGTAGCAACAATTAATTAGTAATTAATAAGTATGTAAATTATTAATGAATAGCAAATTTTGTAAATGTAAATCGCTAAACACTGAAACATTCCCACTTCCATTAGTTTCCAGCATGTTGATTTTAATTTGAAGAGAATGAACGAAAATCGTCAATACCGTAAAGTCCAATATCCGTTTCATAGAGCCATTCACTGGATTGTCATGCCGTTCGAATGCTAATCGTGTCGAAATTAAATTTCCAAAATTGTGTATTACCGATTCCCAATTACGTGACGAATTTCCGTTCTGGATGGCTTTAGTTACACTGTTGATTAATTGGCCCGATATCTTAATTTGGCCCATTATTTTCGGTGTTTGCATCACAATGCACATTGCGTTTGACTGCTTGAGGCCGAAATCGTTATCTAAAGCCGCTTATTTATTTGCCATTTTTTTACTCTATCAACGTTGAAAGCACAGTGAAATTAACTCAAATATTGCAGCAAAAAATCATTCGTTCCGATAAAATGATCAAATAATGAAGGCATTGATTGTAAACGATCATTTTCCACAATGCTAAAAGCCCGAACTGGCACAGCCAACAAAACTATTACTCTGGCTAATGGCATGGCGCTAAAACTAATCGGTACAAATTGATAAAGGCCTAGAATTAACAACTAAATACATTGATTTGTCTAGTCTGGTCAATGTGAATCGATAGTCGAGCTGGTTTTGCTCGCAGGTTTATCCTGCTGATTTTCAAATAGCCAAATTCACACAACCTTCCAAATTTGACACAACACAGGTTGAATCGATGTCCAAGTAAATTTCCACATCCAGAAGGTTTTAAAGCAAGAAAATGTTTTATTGAAACTAATGGGTTTTTCGGGTTTTTAGGCCGTCGTTCGG